GGGTAGAGGAAGTCTTTAAAGTGATAAACAGTTGAATTTCTTCTGAAATGATGAAATTTACCAATCCACACATTCAAGAAAACTAATACCAAAGAAGATCATGAAGAAAGAAATCATACCTTAACCCATAACAGTGAAACTACGGGACAGCAAAGCAAAGAGAGTGTTTTAAAAAGTTATCAGGAAGAACGGGCAAATGACCTTTGAGGAAGAGATGGCTGAAACTGTGCTGATTTCTTAGTAGTTACAAAGGAAGCCAAAAAACAGTGGAAGCATATTTTCAAAGTGCTGAAAGAAGATAATGGTCAACTTAACATTCTACACTCAGGGAATATAGCTGTCAGAAATAAGAGCCAAATAAACACATTTCAGACAACAAAGACTGACAGTTCTTGCTACCAGTGCAACCTCATTAAAAGAATTTCTAATGAATATAATTGAGGAAAGAGTAAAGTACTCTCAGGTAATAAATCAGAGGTAAAAAAAAAGAGAGAAAGGGAGGAAGAAAAGACTAAGTCTAAACAAACATAGATGATACAAAATAATGGTAATAATTTCTAGGGCTTCAAAAGGAAAAAAATAGGAAAATTAAAATACACAACAACAATAAGGTATAGATGGAGTGGAAGGTGGGAATGGAGTTTGTTCTAAAGTAATTTGTTATAGATAAACAAGATTGTACTGTGTAGCACAGAGAAATATAAACAGGATCTTGTGGTGGCTCACAGCAAAAGAATGTGACAATGAATGTATGTATGTCATGTATAACTGAAAAATTATGCTTTACACTGGAATTTGACACAACATTGTAAAATGACTATAACTCAATAAAAAAGTTTAAAATTAATTAATTAATTAAATTAAAATAAAAAAGTAATTTGTTGTATAAGAGGAAGATTAAAATACAGATTACCTTTAGACTTTGACAAGTTAAGAATGTGTGTTGTATGGTGAATATAGACAATATTATGTAATAACTGTAAATGGAATGTAATCTTTAAAAAGTATATTAAAAATTTAAAAATTTTGGAAAAAGAACATGTGTTGTAATCACTGGGTGGCCACTAAGAAAATTAGGAAAAGTGTATACAATTTTCAAACTAGTAGAGAAAAAAATAGAATGTAAAAAAAAAATCACCAAATAATCCAAATTAAGCCACAAAGAAGAAAGAGTAAACAAATTGGACAAGTTTGGACAAGTAGTTGGACAAGTAGGAAGCAAAAAATAAAATGTTATTATGCATTCAAATAGATCATAAGTTGTAACTATGATAAATACACCAAAAGTTTCAGTTTAAAAGATAAATATTTTTGGAGTGGATTTCAAAAGAAATCCAAATCTAAAACATGAGAGATAGGTTGAAAGCAGATATATAGACAAATATGGCAATCAGATTCTAAACAAGAAAGAAGACATACAGATGGCCAACAAACACATGAAAAGATGCTCAACATCATTAGAGAAATGCAAATCAAAGCTAAGGGATATCACCTCACACCAGTCAGAATGGCCATTAGTAAAAAGTCTAAAAATGATAAACACTAGAGAAGGTGTGGAGAAAGAGGAACCCTCCTGGATTGTTAGAATGTAAATTGGTGCAGCCACTGTGGAGGACAATATGGAGGTTCCCCAAAAAACTAAAAACAGACTTACCATATGATCCAGCAATCCCACCCACTCCTGGGCATGTATCTGGAGAAAAATATAATTCAAAAAGACACATGCACCCCAGTGTTCACAGCAGCACTATTTACAATAGCCAAGACAAGGAAACAACCCAAATGTCCATTGACAAAGATAAAGAAGATGTGGGGGGGGTGTAAATATGTATGTATATATGTATATGTGTGTGTGTGTGTGTGTGTGTGTGTGTGTATAACACAGCCATAAAGCAGAATAAAATAATGCCATTTGCAGCAATATGAATGGACCTGGAGATCATCATTCTAAATGAAGTAAGCCAGAAAGAAAAAGAAAAATGCCATATATCACTTATACGTGGAGTCTTAAAAAAAATAAAGGACACAAATGAACTTATCTACAAAGCAGAAACAGACTCACAGACACAGAAAACAAACTTATGGTTACCAGGAGTTAAAGGGGATGGAAAGGGATAAATTGGGAATTCAAAATTTGCACTTCTTGGGGAGTGATGGAAATGCTAGCTATCTTGATTGTAGTGGTGTTTTCATGGGTGTATACATCTATCAAAATTCATCAAATTGTGCATCTGGAATATATGTAGTTTACTGTACAGGAACCATACCACAATACAGGTGTTAAGAAAATATTTACATAACCCTAAAACATTTGCTTGTGCTCTTTTGCAGTAAATGCTATCCCCTCCTCTCCTCATCACCTGAGAACCATGGATTTGTTTTCTGTCCGTATAAATTTGAATGTTCTAGAATATTATATAAACACAGTCTTATAGCATGTATTTTTTTTCCCACTTAATCTGATGCTTTGAGAGTAAGCCAGTGTTTTAGGCATCAGTAGCTTCTTCTCTGTGTTACTGAAGATTACCTGTTAGATTGCAGAGATACATGACAGTCTATCTAGTCACCAGATGATGGGCATCTGAGTTGTTTTCGTTTTTTTATTATTATGAATAAAACTTCTATGAACATTTGAGTTCATGTTTTTCTGTGAACATTTGTTTTCATTTCTCTTGGATACATTTCTAGGAGTGGAATTACTGTGTTGTATGGTAAATATATGTTTATGTTAAAAACTATCACAGTGTTTTCCAAAATTGTTGTACCATCTTCATCTGTACTAGCCATTGTGAGAGCCCCATAATCCCACACCCTTGTTGACACTTGGTGTTGTCACCC